GATTGTGTAAAACCTGCCGAACCTGCTTTCTGGAGTTACCCCAGGGAAAATAAAAAAACAAGAGAGTGACGAACTCATCGGTGCGTAACTTTGTGCCAAGAGGAAGAATCTGGAAATTTCAAAGAAGCAAATTCCAAGTTTAAAAAAAAAAAACAAAAAAAAAAAACTCTCAATCAGTCTATCATTACAGCAGAGCGGATGAGATCCACAGACTGGAATCAAAAATTTGGTTTGCCGTTTTAAAAACAACTACACATAGCCTTTTATTTATGATGCTGCAATTCTAAGCAGGAAGATTTAAACTGCTGGATGTCTTAATGTTGTCCAAAATTAAAGATGTGACCAGATTTTGTGCCTTGAGTCTCCTGGTTGCAGCTAATCGCTTATATAAACAAAGTCAGCAGAAGCCTTCGCAGTTGCGGTCCTCAAACATTTTTGAACAAGTAATAAAGCTTTTGAAGAACCATTAAACTGTCAGACATTTTAAAACGGCAGGAAATGGACTTTGTCCGTCTTTGAGTTACATTATTGAAACAAAGAAAAGAGGTCTAAGACGTTCTTCTCATTTGACTCTACTTAGTAAGTTGAAGGATGTATTTGAATTGTGGGTTTGACTTATTTACATGACAACTTCAGCGTAGGGTTAGAGCAAGCACTCCATACATAGTTGACATACAGTAACTCTCTGCAGCTCACGTCTCGCTCTGCATGTCTTCTCCCTGTCTCCACCCCTTCCACGTCTGACTACTCTGGATAAAAACGTACAATCTAGCAAAAAAGATAAACCGTTCTCAGCGATCGATGAGGTTGGGTGGTGTTTGGGAACTTGTTTGCGTTCACCTTCTGCCTCCATTTCCACTGAGTCCCACTCAGACCACTATCTGACGTACTTCTGAATAGTTCAAAAACCACAGTCTTTAAGCAAACAACTGCAAACAAGATTTCAGTGGAGCGAAATAACAAATTAGCTCATGACTTGCTGAAAAAAAAAAAAAAAAACTCATCCTGTTGTTCGACCTTTTGTGGTTAGAAAACGTGTCCAGTCTGATGTGTGATGCCGTTTCGTGATATTTCTTTCGGATCATTTCATTTTGCTTTATTTTCTGTTTGTTGATGGCAGCAGTAATGCTAAAGAGGTCAACGCTGCTTCTGTATTCTCATTGGACCACAGAGAACAAAAAAATAAAAAATCTCTCCAAACCAGAACATCTGCCTCACCATTATTGTCTTGCTCTTGAAACACCATCGTGTGATGTATCATAAGGCTGTCTCTCTTTTACAGTATCAGCACAACCACTGACTCTATCGGGGAGGCATTTACTGCCCATATGGCCACTGACACTGGGTCAAGTCTTGTATTTCATGTGAAACCACAAAGGGTTGTAAAAAGCTTGCACACAGGAATGGATACAAATTCAAGCATTAGCACGTTGCTAATTACTGCAGTCGCTTTTTAATAAAATAATAAATAAATAAAAATGTTGCAGGACAGTAAGAGCGGACGGTCTGAGCTGTGAGTGAAAACAAACTATTCTGAGATCAATAGGATTCAAGTTTCCAAAGTTCTTCTCCCATGTTTGGGTTTATACCTCCTGAAAAAAAGGAAAAAAAAACACGGAAGCCTCAAATTTTGAGTCTTCAATCTGTTCACTGTTTAAAATGTAAACTGGTAATCATGATCCAATTATACAGCCCTGCCTTTGTGCCACTTTGATGCAGAGCAAGCCGAAGTTTATCTGATCCTGGATATTGGTCCCAAGACGGTTTCTTACTTTCGTGCCTTAACAACAGCAAAAGCAAGCGAACCTCCAGCTAGGCTCTTCAGATCAGAGCATTCTGATCTACAACAACTGCTTTGCAATCTACACAAGTGTATCTGTACAATATTTAGATCCGTGAAAGACATGCAAAAAAAAAAAAAAAATCAGTGAATTCACTATAGCTGTAATTTTAGGCCTTCTACCAAAGAAATCACATTAAAATCCCTGCTTTTGTCTAGATTCCACTCGCCAAATTATGGATATTGTAATTCCACACCGACGTGTGTTTGAAGTCATTAATGGCAAACCCGCGGCGTTGATATAGATCAGAGTGGGTCTGAAGCCCCGCACGTCTGCGCATTGCCAGCTTGACGAGAGACAGGACTCTGGCCGTTCCACCATAAAGGTTAGGAACCGTGAAATACCTGAGAAGTGCTGGAACCACTCTTCCTTTCAAATTACGGCCTAATGCATGCTATACAGTCCTGGCGGCGGAGGAGGGTGGGGGGGGGGGCGCCTTGGCCAGTCCATAAAGGGCTCAGTGTGCAGCTGAAATGACCGTGCAACTCCTGAAAATAAACAAGAATCAAATGGAGTGATTGATCGAATAAATTAAGGGCAGCAGCGAAAGCGCCACGCTCTCTTTTGCTCTCACTCACCACCCAGCAGCCCTCCTCTACGCCCCTCACCTTCCCCTCCTCCGCTCCTTGTAAACAGACACAGCTACTCATCAGCCATGATGGCCAGCCTGCTAGAAAAGCAGACACTTGTTGCCGTTTTGCTGCTGTGTTCAGGCCATCTGCATTTGGCATGGGAGTTTTGTCCACACCTCCACGGTGGGGTGAGTGGGGTGAGTGGGGTGGTGACGGTTTTTTGGCTGCTGCTTGACAAACCTCTCATGAGATTTTACCCTCTGATTTTAATTAGCATCCACAAACTATGTAGGGTTTCTTTTATTACTTGCCTGGTACTGTTTGACTGTTTAAATAGCTCTTGGTTCATTTCAGTTCATGCTCATTTCTTTCATAAAAGAAAATACAATATTGGATTGTTAGTATCATCTGGGAGTACAGATTTAACTAGCTGATGAGTTTGTTTAAAAGTTAGTAATATGTATGTTTATTTTTGTAATTTTGTCTTTCAGATCTGCACAAATAGTCACTTCTTAGTAACTTGTCCATGTCTTAAGTGCTGATGTTGACAAGTGCTTCAGGTACACCAAATTATAATGGCATATCAAATTCAGAAATTTTATTTTGTGGACGTGAATAACTGTTTTAGGTTTTCTGTCTTTGAAACTTTCCAAACAAACGATCTTCAATTCGAAATTATTTCCACCCTCAAAACAAAACATTTACTTTTTTTTCCATGGTGTTGTATGCAGAAATCTATTCACAACGATTCTTAGTCATTCAGTTCACAACCGATTCATCCGAACATTGCATTTTTTTTTAGCCTTTTTGTCTTGATGCCAAAAAGAACAAAAAATGTTTTTTAGATCTTTTTAAATTTCAACCAGAGCCGATCAAAGGCCACGTTCCTTAAACAAAAGCTAAAATAACACTTTAATTTAGCATCAGTTTAGACACAAACTTCTTAAGCACTTGTGCCACCCCTAAAACAGTGACCCCCAGGGTGAAGAGCCTGGGCGTCTTAGAAAACCAGCTACTTTTGACATTATTGTGGTTGAGTTTATTGGTGTGCGACAACCTGACGTGGTTACCACCTTCAGCAACACATGGATGAAATAAACATAGTCCAGATTTATTTGGAAGAATAACGTCATCCTACATTTATGGAAACTAATACAATAAAAGGGTTATTGTTCTTGTTTTTGTTTTGTTTTTTCAGAAATATTCATAAATTTGGGAAACAAATCAAAAATATTTAAGACTTCATCCACACTGTGGGTGGATCCAGGGCCAGATAAGCCCCTGAAGTTTTGTCCCGTCAATGGTGGCTTCACTCTTTGAGAAAAGTAGAAAACTGAAACTAACATGTTTATGTAGCAAATACAAGGAAATAAGAAAACAGATGAAGGAGCCCTTTTCAACATAAAGTTGTTGTGTTCAACTTTTCCAACGGATTCTGCTAAACTGTACATAAAGTTTTGAAGACCTCATGCTAGCTGGACACGTTTACATCCCCGTTTTCTTGGACTTGTCCTCTGCACGGCCCCTGACCCTTGGATGCAGCCCTGCTTAACGTGGCCGTGTTTGTTATATCATCCTCATCAGGTGAATGTGATCTTTTCTCACCTTTTAACTGCCTCTAAACGGCGAGGCTGTATATTTTAGAGTGGAGCTGGAATCCGAACCCCTCCAATCTGATGAACCTGCCGTCTGGTCAGAACCTTCGTGAAACAAACCCTCACACAGGCACACCTACCTACCCCCTGTGCGTTGTCCCTTCATGCTTGCTTAGCGGCATGGTTTACTGAAATCTTTACCTGGCCTCCGGGGTAACAAGATAGATGTAAACAGACATTGATGACCACCCAAACCAGGATCGACGCAAAGATTTCGGATTTGCTAGTCTCTCTCTGTCATGTCTGCCTCCCCAAAAGGTTTTATGATCATCAATCTAACGGGGAGCTGCGACAGTTTTATGGAATAAAGTTCAAATCAGAGTGCTGCAGGCTCAAATCGACACTTGATCCGTGTGCAACACACACATGTGCACAACAAAACATGCACATCTTGCAATAATCAGCTCAATTAGTTGGAGGACGTGGTCCAGAGTGGCTGAAGTGAGCGGTGGGAGGTTGTGAAAATAAAGGGCTGGCTATTAGGGGAAACGTGATCTTCATTCATCAGCGGCTGGAATAGTTACCGTTTCAGAGCCGCAGCCCTCTGATCAGACTGATCTGTGGAAACAAGGGGTTTACAAACACTGTCAGGGGACAGACATGGGACCCCGGTCCCTGCCGGCCTGCTCACACCCACTGCTGATTGTGAACAAACCAACACAATGAAAGACACTTTGTATTTATGTCGTTTGATATCCGACATTTTCTTTATGCTGTAGTGCAGTTGCTTCACCGTTAGCCTTTTTTTTCTCTCTATTAGATGCACTGTGGTTCAGAGAAAACGTATCAGTTCACAAAAGATCTGAGAAAAAAAAAATCAATCAATCAACAAATTAAGCATTTTGCAGGACACAGAAAGTTGGTTGGAGAGAAAAACCCCCAACTATTTATAATAAGTAACAATGGAAAACACTGACAATAACAACACAAACGTCAGCAGGTGCTAAAATGGGACCTGGGTGTTGTTTTCAACATCATCCAAGAAATGTTGAAAGGATGAAAGACACATCAGCTGAAGAAGAGCACGTCTTTCACCAAAACATCCATAAATAATTTAAAAAATTTAAATAAAATCCAACCCTCATTTTCTTCAGTTCTAAACAAAGGCACACAAGGGGAGTTTTGAGTGAAGGACCATGCAAATAAGTGAAAAAATAATTTTAAAAAAATACACCGCATTAATAATTTCAATGGGCTTTTCATACAGTAAGCATAACATTGATACATGCATTCAACAGCTCTCCATACAGCGCTCTTCTAGTGTAATTTCAGCACCTCTTTCACCACTGGGAGAGACTTTGGTATGTTTTGGACCGTGTCAGAGCGGTGTCTGGTTCTGGGTTAGATGTGCGGGGTTGATAATTTTTTTTTTTTTTTGTATCTGCAATCAGTTTAAAATTTCTTGTCTGTCAAAACAGTGTTCGGAGCCGCTATTATTTGCAATTCAGGGGCCTCGTATAATAATAATAATAATAATAATAATAATAATAATAATAATAATAATAGGGCGGGATTACAACTTTACTTTTTGGTGAANGTCGTTTGTCCATTTATGTATGTATTTATGTATCTACATATTAGTTTACTTCGAAATTAAAGTCATTTTCGTGATATCCCCCCCCCCATCACCCCACTATCTTTTTTCCATGCGACGCACGGTCCCTTGGCGATTCCCATTAATCAGCCTAATTCCGTAATACCCCGAGAAGTGCGCTTGAGGCGAAACCCAAGTCAATTTATTAAACAGAGGGAGAAGACAGGGTGCGGAAGCAGGGATCAGGCTCTCCTTACAGCGCTCTTCGTCACAGGTAATAAACGCGCGTCGTAATTACGCTAATAATTTCTTTTTAAGCAGCTGCGGTTCAGATGAAACGCGGCGTCCCATTGGCTCCTGTGAGCATCGAAAAGAAAATCAACAAAAAATAAAATATATTTTTATATATATTGTGTTGATTTATTACATTGAACACAACATAAGCTGTTTAATCGGTAATTTTGAAGGTAAACAGAGGGGGAAATTTGAATCTTTATGTCAGCACTGAATGTTTCTTCTTATTGAGAGCTTAATATTTAATGTGAACATTTTTTTCTTTTTTTTTCTAATTCCAAGCACAAAACTTCTTTTTTTTTAATGAAAAATAATACGATTTGGTAGCTAGACATGTTTAGCAGCGTCAGAAGATCTCCAATTTATAAGTTGATCTATTAATTCAGTGCCATTAGGCCATCAAGAGCAGCAAAAAGCAGAGGAAAGAGTGTGTCAGCGTGTTCGTGGGTGTGTGTGTGGTTTGGAGCAACTGTGTGGATTGACGTGATACCGTTCGCCGGTGCTGCTGACAATAGTATCTCTAATAAAGAGGTCCCACGGTGAGACGATGGAAATCTATCAGCTGGTCAAGTCTTTGGCCCCGCCGTCAACAACACGCCTGAACGTCCGCCTGCGTGACACGCGTGCGTCTAAAGCCTGAAATAAGCCACTGAGTCACACTTTTCACAGTAAACAGGTTTTTCCGCTCGTTTTTTTTTTTATATATTTTTATCGTGTATTTATACCAAATTTAATCTGCTCTCTCTAGATTCAAATTACTCGCTCTTTCATGATTACTTATTACCACTATTATAATAGTTATTATTAATACGAGTAGTTTTAGGAGTGGTATTTGTATTAATAATAGCTCTATTAGAAAAGAACTGAGATCTTACCCTGCAGTCCCTCCTCTGGTCCTCTCTGACTTCCTATAATCTCATGTCTTTCGAGCAAAACAAATCTTCTCTCACCAACAACTGATGCCGGTGTTTTTTTTTTCCTACTTATTTTTCTTTTCTTCCTCCTCTCGGCTTTTCTCAGATTCTCCTCGTGGCTCCCTCGGTTCTGGGTTGTGGGCTGCAGAGCGGAGCTGATTTCTCCATCAGGACCGGCGGCTGCAACACCTCCAGATTGTTCATTGCTCACTCTCTGTCTCACCTCTAATTTAAATATCCATCTCCTGTGCTGTCATGTGCAAAAATAGCTCTGACAAAACTTAGAAAATGGACAACCGCTTTATGCAAAAGAGAGAGAGAAAAATAAATAAAAATCACGTTTAGATTGTATTTGTTTTCTCCCCCAAATGAATCAAGTTGAAAATACATATTAAAATAGGTTTAATGTAATCCTCCCCGAAAAAACCCATGCCACGTCTTTTCAAACAAGAGGCCTAAGAATAAAAACATAAAAGCTAAATCTGTATAGGTAGACATATTTATTCAAGGGAAATATGAAGATTTATTCCCGTTCCGAGCACTTTTTTACATGCAGCATTTCTTTTGACTTTTAACGGACGGAGTCTTAGTTGGAGACTTTTCAACCAACTGCTTCTACCAAAATAATCCACGTCTGACTTCCTGAAGAAAATAACAATCTTCCTTCTGAATACCACTCATCTTTAGATATTCATGAAGATTTTTGTTTGTTTGTCTTAGTTATTTGTTAGACGTGTTGATTTGTTTTTGCTTGTCAACATTCAAAACGACCAGAGTTTTCGTTTCAAATCAGTAAAGGAACCAACTTTATTTTATTTTTTTTTTATTATTGTTTATCTCAGAGTGACATCTCTCCGGCTGATTTCAGAGCGCTTCCAGGCGCATTGAAGACGCGCCGGTCCTGCGTGGTGATCCCTGCCCTGCGCGCTCTGGCGCCATCCTCCCTCCAGCCGCGAGAACAGCGTGGCTCTCCTTCTCCCCTCCGGCCCCGCACCTTCCTCACTGCTGCGCGCTCTTTGGCTGCCCGGTGTGTCCGTCAAAAAAAAAAAAAAGAAGAAGAAGAAGAAGAGAGGAGTAATAAAAACGTTTAAGAGAGAGAGTGGAGGGGTGGGGGGAAGGAGGGAGAAAAATCTGAGCAATATTTCTATTGGGAGGGCGGGCTGGACACGCAGAGAACAATCCGCTCGACTTTGCCAAGGAGCCACCTCAAAGGGTATCGGGTTACGCTGAGTGACAGCGTAACCATGGCAAATAATTTGACTGAGGCTATTGTCTTATCCTCACCATCCCCGGGTCAGATAACCGACCAATCAGAGTTCATATAATCGCTTGTCTTGCCAGCTTAGAATAATATTATTAAAACGAGCCAGCGAGTCTGCTCTCCGGGAGTAGTTTATGTAGAAACGGCGCAGAAAAGGTGGAGGCGGACTGAGGAAGGAGTTCCACATTTCTCTCTCCCTCTGTGTGTGTGTTTCGCCGCAACTTTCACGAGGAACTGTCGCCCGGGGATCTGCATGGCTCAACGGGCATTGAAGCTGGATATTACCCCTAACCCCTGAGTCGTATAGGCTGCTCTTCTGGGACACTTTTTTTTTCTTCTTCTTTTTTTTTTTTCTTTTCTTTTCTTGACACTTGTGGACTTACTGCGTGTCACTTTAATGAGAGACTGAGACAAGAGACGTGGAAGTGAGGCACAATCTAATCTGCGCTGGTCTGCGGCTGTCGCCATGTCAATGCTCCCGACGTTTGGTTTCACGCAGGAGCAAGTCGCGTGCGTCTGCGAGGTCCTCCAGCAAGGGGGGAACATCGAGCGGCTGGGACGCTTCCTCTGGTCCCTGCCGGCCTGCGAGCACCTCCACAAGAACGAGAGCGTCCTCAAGGCGAAAGCCGTGGTCGCCTTCCACCGGGGCAACTTCCGAGAGCTCTACAAGATCCTGGAGAGCCACCAGTTCTCGCCGCACAACCACCCGAAGCTGCAGCAGCTGTGGCTCAAGGCGCACTACATCGAGGCGGAGAAGCTGCGGGGCCGCCCTCTCGGGGCCGTAGGGAAGTACCGCGTCCGGAGAAAGTTCCCGCTGCCCCGCTCCATCTGGGACGGAGAGGAGACGAGCTACTGCTTCAAGGAGAAGAGCCGGAGCGTGCTGCGGGAGTGGTACACCCACAACCCGTACCCGTCCCCGCGGGAAAAGAGGGAATTGGCCGAGGCCACGGGACTCACCACCACGCAGGTCAGCAACTGGTTCAAGAACCGGCGGCAGAGAGACCGGGCGGCGGAGGCGAAGGAGAGGTAGGAGCGTCTGCAGATAAAACTATCAACATGTTGGAAAAGGGGGTAAAAAAAAAAAAAGCAGAGTCATGTTAAAACAAAATGGTGCTGAGTCACAAGCACTTTGACGTGCTGACCTACATCTGAAAATATGTTCAAAACTTCCCGTCTCTTGCTGTTTATTCTGTCTCTTTCATCACATTTATTTATGTATTTATTAAATTAAATCATATTGAAACAGTCCACTCCAGCTCCAGGTTAACTCTTCTTCTGGTTTGGGCGTCTATGAAAAGTGTTGGAGTCTGAGTGAAAAAGTTTGGAAAGCAGGAAATTAAAAGGTTTGCTGTTAGGCAAATTACAAGGACATATAAGCGTACATTTACCTCTCCTTTTGCCGTAGTAATTACACTTATTATCACCCGAGGTTTTACTTTCATATCAACATCAAAAAAAAAGCTAAAACACACACACACACACACACACACACACACACACACACACACACACACATACAAATATGTTATGCTAACCCAAACAACCATGGAGTGAGCAGAAGCAAATGAGAACATGTCTATAGAAAGATGCTTTTTTAAAAAGTTTTTATTTATTTATTATGTTTTACAGTCCATGCTTCCATTTAGCGTGTAGGCCACATTTGAAGGTTTTTTAGGGGGGAATTACACACGCAGGCGCTGCAGAGAGGTGTGCGCCCCAGCTGGTGTCTTCTTTCAGCCTCTGGCCACTAATTCGGGCTGAAAGCTCCACGTAAATCATGTGCTCTTGCAGAGAAAAGGCTCAGCGCTCACATATATATAAACTATGCCACCTGTAACCCTAAATTACAAATGTTTCGACACAGCGATTGATTTAGCTAATAAGCTCTAATGACTTTTGGAAAGGTCGGGATTTATGGCCGCCTGTCATTGTTTTTAAGTCTGTGCTGCGGCGCTGCAGCCAAACGAGAGTCTTATTATTTCACGGACTCTTTAATGAGCAGGTATGCACGAATGGATTGCTGGTTGCTGCGTTAATACATGATCTCTCGTACCTTTCCACAAAAGAGCAGTTGTAAACACGCTATAAATCAATCTCCATCGTGCGTCTGCACTAACAAAACAAACTGTTGCAGCAATTTCCCTTAACTTACGTTGTGCAGACTTCAAATAATATCTCTGATAATAACTTATGTACAGTGTATATAAACAGGAGCAGGTAGAAGCGCCTTTTTAAGATTTCCCTACTCAACAGATTTACTGAAATTCCAACCATTTTATTAATTTTGTTTATCTTTCCGTGCTAAAGAGAAACAAAGCACACAAAATCGCTTTTGATTAAAATGTTTCTATAATTGCAACAAAGTTTTTAAACATCAGCGCTAATACACCTAGCTGTCTATAGTCGGCTTGACCGTAGCCTTTGTGCTGTCTCCGTTCTAGCATAAAATGTTTATAAAATATTAGACTCTTCTAAAAATACATCCTGTTGCAGTGAAATGTTCAACTTTTCCTCAACTACCATGGCCGAGATGTTCCGTTCATTGGCGTCGACTGACTCCTTCAGGGGAGAGGGAAAAAATGGGGAATTACACACACAGGCAGCGTCAGCTAGAGGTTTGACTTTAGCGGCAGTGCTGTCGCTAAAGCAGAACAAGTTCCTGAAATAGTTACAGAATGTGTAAATCTTTTCTGAAAAGACAGCATGTGAACTATTTCGCATCTTAGATGTGTCTGTCGTTGTCAACAACTGATTCAGGGCTAAGGTCGTATTGCTAGCAAGCTTGACATCACTAAACTAGCTAACGCTGTTAGTTTACAAACCTAAACTCTTGCTCCAACAGAAACTTTGCCTAAGTTTCTGTTGTATAGTATGACAGTTTGTAACCTTTTCTAAGCTCAGATAGTCATTAGAGTTATAAAGTAAACACATACACCTTCCCATTCTTTGCTCAATATTAGTTGACTGAACCATCATTCCCAGTGCAACTTTAATTTGAACAGTCACGAAGGACATGTTACACAAATAAATTAGCTAGCATTGTTAGAATGGAAGATTTTTTTGAACGTCACATTAACAAACAAATTTTCTTGATATATATTTCTTTAAATCATTTAAATGTCTAAAATTGGAGACTTCCCCAAATCCATTTTGTAGTGTACCATTCTCTGCATCGCAAGAATAATTAAAATAACAGCTGACTGAGAACATTTCAGTTGAATTCTAATACAAATTTTCAGGTTCATAATAATAAAAGAAGCGATGTTTGAAAAATTTAACCATTAAATACTAATTGATATGCATGATTGGAAAATCTAAAGAGGGAAAACAATGTCTCGCTGTTGAAAAGCTGTTTTACTAGTGTGAATATGAATAGCAAATTTAGCTTTCCTTTCCTTTTTTTAGATGCACATGTCAATGTTGCGAAATGCCTGTTGAATGAGTGTGCACCAATTAAAATTGAATTCCCTTTTCCTTTTAGGGAAAACAGCGAGAACTCCAACAGCAACAGTCACAACCTATCTTCTTCCATGAACGGAAATAAAACTCTTTTGGGGAGCTCGGACGACGATAAAACGCCTTCGGGGACACCGGATCACACGTCGCCGAGCCCGGCCCTGCTCTTGGGCTCGAACGCCGGCTTACCGTCCCTGCACGGCCTTGCGCCCCCTCCGGGACCCAGCGCGATTCCGGTGCCGGGTGGCGCAGACTCGGTGCACCATCACCACTCGGTGCACCATGACACTATACTAAACTCTATGTCTTCTAACCTCGTGGACCTCGGCTCTTAAAAAAAAAAAGGACACTGAGAGAGGACAAAAAAAAAAAAAACTAAAAACTTTTCCTTTTTTTTCTTTTCTTTTTTTTCCTGGAGAATTTACATGATGATGAGAGCGAAGCTTCAAGCACTTGCGGTAAGAAAGACTGGGAATCTGCGAGAACAGCCACAATAACAAACCTTTTGGTCTATACGTAAGTAAAATACATAAAAACAATAAAAAATAAAAAATAAAAAAAACACGTTTTCCCGCCACCTCCTCTTATCGCAAATTTAAACGTTTTGGGGACGTTTTCAAGAACCACAATTTTAGGCTTAAAAGCACTTACACGACAGCAACTGATCAAGCAGACGTCAGGTTCTCACACCACTTTGGTTCCGCTGCGTTCGAGGAAAGAACTGATAGATTTAGCAGGAAAGGGGAGGAAGAAATAAAAGAGAGAGAGAGATGTATTTCTGAATGTAATTACATATTATCTTATATTGTTGAAAACAATAAGAATAAAACGTGTCTTAATTCCTGTACCGTTATTATTGTATAGGAGACTCGGTTTCCCCCTGTCTGTATTGTTTACATTGGGGTTTTCCAAGAGAGCCATATGCAGTCTTTCTGTTTTGTTTGTTTTTGCTTTTCTTTCTTAATTCGGTTTCTTTGTTTTGAAGGAGGTTGGACTGTTCAAGTGTCTAATAAGAGCCGTGACGACGTGAAGTATCTTAACCTCCTGACTATATTATATGATGCTGATGATAACGATGATGATGATGATGATGATGAGTAGTATTTACATTTTTATTTGGAAAGAGACTGCATGTAAGCTCTGCGCTTAACGGAGGAATAATGAAGCGACTCATATAGTTTCATATAAACTTTCCAATAAAAGAAAAAGGACATCCACGGACTAAAATCCATTTGTTCATGTGATTCTGAATCATTATTTATATAGTTCCTCCCAGCTCCCTAATATATCTTTTATATATTTTATTGCTTTATAACCAAAAGTGCAACCATGAAATAAATCTGATTTATTTTTTTAATTTTATTTTTTTAACACATTGATTTTCTTTTTTTCTCTCTTCTTTTTGTTGTTGCAGTTTTTACCTTAAAACAAGATAGGTGCATTTTTGGACATGGATATTGACTCTCAAGGAAATGCAAGAATTATGCATTTCATTTTTATGTCATCATTGAAATAAAAACAATAAACAACAATTTCGTATTTTAGTCAAAATAGTAAAATAAATAAATAAATAAATAAATAAATAAATAAATAAATAAATAAATAAATAAATAAATAAGTAAATTATAATAATTTTATGTTGGCGTGACAAAACGAGGAAGACAGGAAAAAAGAGAAAAAAGAGACACTCAATCGAGCACTTAGTAAAAGCAACACAAGTCAAGAGGCCGGAACATGTGGTGGCATCTGGCCATTAAAGCGGGGCAGAATCCAGACACGCATTTCCAAACAGGGGAGACCTTCAGCTTCATGTCGGAGTGATGACACCTTATCTTTCCTCGCTCGCTCAGTTGAGGGGAACAAAAGTGCCGGGGTGGGGGTTTTTTTTTTTTTTTTTTTTTTGCTTCTTGTCGATGGAAAGAAAAAAAAAACAGAACTGGAAACTAGCGTTGAAAGAAGACACTTTGTTTTAACAGCCTCGACTGTGAAACACCTTCAGCTCTCGCTCCATCAGTCAGTCTGCAGCCCGAGATGTTTTATCGGAGAGCAAAGCAAACGTCTCCTCTCATGTGTTGAAAAAAAAAGTTTTTTTTTTTGTTTTTTTTTGTTTTGTTTTTTTTTTGCAGATTCTTGTAGATTCGTAGATTGGGAGCTTTTGGCATTCGCAGTTCAAACACTCGATTTCTGCTCACGGTCGGACAGACTGGAGATGTAGATTGAAAACAGTCATTTTTAAGCCAATAGATCGAGCTCAAATACGGCTTGTATAAAATATTAGACTCCAGTAGGTGGCCCATTGGAGCTACCCCAGTGACCCCTTTCTCGTTTTTATACATCAATACACGTTTCCTTTTTTTATGGCCACAATTAAATAAAATAAAAAAACTTATTTCTGTGTATGTCTTTTCCCCGTTTCAACACATTTAGACACTTGTAGACAATTTTACGGAAATATTTTCACATTTCAGCCATATTTAGTCATCGACAGATTTTCTTTTGGTGTATTGTCAATCTTTTTTTTTTTATACCTCTCCCTTAGACGTCAGTATAATTTTATGGAGATTTTATGAGTTTCCAATTTTTTATCCCTTTTGACACCAACGGACGTCATTGTTCACGTCTTTCCACTTTTTGCTTGGGTGTGTTTGCTTCACTTTCTACCAGCATGTCGACAGTAAGTCTTTTTTTTTTTTTTGGAAACATCTTGTATTTTCAACCACACTGTCATAGACGTCGTTTCACCTTTCGCCTGCACGTGGACAGCAAAATGCATCTTTTTTTTTTTTTTTTTGTAAACGTCTTTCCAAGACGTTTCCAAGACGTTCACCATTTACACATTAGCGTGCATCTGCTTGTGGACGTCTTTTTTTTTTTTTTTTTTTTTTTTCAATTTTCAAATGACTCGTCTTTACCGTCTCTTCTGTTTTGAGTCTCTTTAAGTCTTTAATTTTAAGCCACATTTAGACACCAATAAACGTCTTTTTCGAGACATATGTTCCCCTTAAACTATTCAGCCCAATTTAAACGCCTTTTCTTTTCTTTTCTTTTC